CTCGGGACGACTTAGTACTTGGGGGGATTGGAATCCCTTTTAGGGGGTGTGCGCACTTAAGGTGGTAGTTTTGTTTCCGCAGAGCAGTTATGGTACCGGTACTTGACCGGGGTGGCCGTCCGTAACCACGGACCACCGGGCTCAATCGAGAGGTTAAGCATCGCGCTTCTAAATTACTAGGAAGTTAGAGAAGAAGTGATTTTTGAGATAATCAAAGGAGAAAAGAAGTTTGATGGAGTGAGTTCTTTTTATATATTATTATATGAAAAACTATTTTTGAAAAACTTGATTATTTTACGGGGTTGGGTAGTACTTACTTAGCTCTAAAGCTAATTTTTGTTATTTTCATTGTCCCTCTCTCCTCCCTTAATTTTTAACAGGTGATGAGTTGGAAGCTTATGTTGATTAATTGATTGATCGAGCCTGAGAGCGATTTAGAAGATGCCTTAGTCAAATCTAGTCTTGAAATAAACATTTAATTGTTATTGCATTAGTTGTTATCGTTTTTTTGGGATGCCTGTGCATTCGGTTAAGGGATGACCGGATTTGGCGGTAACACTCATTTCCCTATTTAGACTTCCGTTGTATTTCTTCAATTTTATGATGAATGAATAAAGAATTTCTTTTAAATATATCAATGTTTTGGGTGGGAAATTTGGGGGTGTTACAAAAGTGCTGCTTTGACGTTCCCAGGACTGCCAGTCTCCCCATTTCCCTATTTGGACTTCCCAAGGGCTGTCAGTCTCCCTGTGAGGATTTGGACTTCTTTGACGTTCCTTGGGGCCATATCCAAGATTGCCTTGACCTTTTCTCGGTTCGGCTCAATGCCTCCATCAGTTATCATGAATCCCATAAATTTTCCACCTTGGACCGCAAAAGTGCACTTCTTTTGGATTGAGTCTCAGATTTACCTTCTTCATGATGCTGAATACCTCTCTGAGATCATCAACATCACCTGCCTTCTAACTTTTCACAATCATATCATCGACGTAGGCCTCCATGTTCCTTCCCAGGACCGCTCGGAAGACCTTGGCCACCATCCTGGTGTAAGTGGCCCCAGAGTTTCTCAATCCGAAGGCCATCACCAGGTAACAAAAAACTCCTTCTGGCGTGATAAATGAGGTCTTCTCAGCGTCATCGGGGCGCATGGAGATCTGATGATACCCCATAGATGCGTCCATGAAAGAAAGGAGCTCACATCCAGCAGTTTGATCTACCAATTGATCTATGCTAGGCAGAGGGAAAGGATCCATTAGGCAGGCCTTGTTGAGATCTGTATAGTCCACGCACATCCTCCAAGTCGGCGGCTTAGGGGCCAAGACTACGTTGTCCAGCCACTCTGGATACTGCACTTCTCTGATATGCCTGATGCCTAGCAACATGTCTACTTCCCCTTTGATGAATTCTTTCCTGTCCAACGACAGATATCTTCTCGTCTGCTTCACGGGAGGCGCATTTGGATCTACATTCAACCGGTGGACTGCTATGCTTGGGTCGAGCCTGGGCATATCCTCAGGTCCCCAAACAAAGATAACCTTAAACTCTGTCAGGACCTGGACTATCCTTGATCTCAGTTCGGTCGGAAGCCCTGCACCAATTTTAACCCGTTGTTCTGGCCGGGATGGATCGACTACGACCTCCTCGAGCTCTGAGATGGGCTGAGCTTTGAGCTGCCCCTCCTCGTATTTGGATAAGTCCGGTTCAATAGCATTGGCCCTTATATCTTTCCCCCCGTGAGCCTTGCAGGCCCTCACATAACAGCTTCTGGCCATCTTCTGGTCTCCCTCACCATGCCTATCTCGGTCGGTGTATAGAACTTCATGCATAGATGAGCCTGAGAAATAATGGCTCCCAGGTCCTCCAGCAAAGGTCGACCCAGGATGGCCTTGTGCACGCAAGGCAATCGGACAACAACAAAATATGCATCAATCATCCGTACACATGGTTCCGATCCGAGATGGATCTTGAGGATGATCACCCCTTCTGGCTCAATTGTGTCTCTGGTAAAACCTGAGAGTGGTGTTTTTACCGGCTTCAGAGCTCCCTTCTGGAGTCCGGTCTCCAAGAAAGGATGTAGGTACATTATGTTGACCGAGCTGCCGTTGTCCACCAGAACTCTATGGACAATCGCATCCATAACTTCCATCTTGATCACTAGAGCATCCCTGTGAGGTGGGGGACACGGCGGGAGGTCGTCGTCTGTGAAAACGATCGATTCCCGCTTCTGCTTCTTATCGGTAGGAAGATCTCTCTAATGAATAATTGGCGACTCCACTTTTTCCTTTCTCCTGCGGTGTCTCCTCCCACTGGTCTGCCATATATCTGGTTCACATGTGGGTGTTTTTGTCATCCTGAATCTTCCCCTTCATCGTCATCCTCGAACTGGGCTCCGACCTCCCTCTTCTTAGAGGTAGAGGCCGGCTCGTCTCTCCCTTTGTTCCAAGTATTCTTCTTTTGAGCGGGCTGTCCATGCCGACTCTTCACAAACTGATCCGGCTGTCCTTCTCGGATGAGCCTTTCCACATACTTCTTCAGGACATAACAGTCATCGATTTCATGAGTATCGCTCTTATGAAGTTTACAATACTTACTCCGGGTGGCATGGTTGTTAACAACATTACAACCTTCTGGAATTGTTATCAATACCTGCTTGGCCGCATAGTCCAGGACAGTGCTGACGGGATGTGTCAAGGGCGAAAATTCAGATTGGCTAGACAGGGGCCCCTCGGGGACACCCGACTTGTTCTTTCCCCAACCCTTCTTCTTTCTTTTGGACCCATTCCCCTTATCCGGGTCATGGGCTTCCCTTTCTGAAGTCTTCTTCTTCTCACCTTCAGGTTGGCGCTTTCCAGTCTCCTCTTCTCTCTTCCTCTTCTCAGCCTCTTCTACCTCAGCTTGCGCATTGGCACGCAGTAAAGCTTCCTCGTGTGAGGTCGGGAGGTTGCGCACAAAATCCTTGTACAGTTCACCCGACCTCAGGGCATTGGTGAGGATGGCGATGGCAATTTGTTATCCAGGTCGTCCACATTCACCGATTCGTCCCTCCACCGAGCTAGGAAGTCGACTAAGCTTTCCTGGGATCCATGTCTGATCCCCAATAAGTGAGAAAAATTCTTCTTGAAGTCCTTGGAGCTGGCGAATCGGGCTACGAATGCATGAGCCAACTCCCTGAAGTTCTGGATCCTCCCATCAGGCAGGGAGTCATACCACTCTCGGGCTGGTCCGTCTAAGGTTACTGAGAACCCCATGCACTTGATCACATCATCATACCCCATCATTACCATGTATGCCATGTACCTGGAGACATGGTGTTGGGATCGGTCTTTCCTCGATAGGCCTCAATATTGCATGGCTTGTACCCCTGTGCTAATGGAGCGTCCATGATCTGGCGAATGAATGGCTCGGGAATCCTCACATCATGATTGAGGTTGATCCTGCCATCCACTTCCCTCCTTAGCTCATCCAGTCTCCTTCTGAGGTCATCGTTTCCGCAGCCTACTCGAGCGTGAGGTGGGGATCGGCGTTCTCCACGGGCCTCCCGGTTGGCGTTGATCTTGTCTTTAAGATCTCCCACACGCATGTTGCGGAGGTGGGATGAAACGACCACCGACGATGCCTCCTCACTTCTTTCATCCCGGGAGGAGATTCTATCGTGCACAGAAATCCTTTGCCCTTCGATCCAATCCATCACCGAGGCTCTCGGGGGTCGGCCTAGAGTGATGGGACCACTGAGACCGGACTGGCGGAGAGTTCCTCCGTTGTTGCTCATGTCTCTCTTCCTCCCGCTGAGGCAGAGACGGAGCCCGGCGAGGGGAAGGAGGTCTTGTGTTAGCATCAGGGATAATACTATGGAAGGCGGTAGTCAGGGTCTCCACAGCCCTCTGGAATGCCGCCAAACTCGTTAAGGCTTGGGCTGGGTCGACGTTGGGAATGAGATTCCCGATGCCCTGCGTTTGGAACTGTGGTGGCTGCACTACTGTGCGCCTGGAACTCCCAAGGCCGTGGAGTTGATTTCTAAAATCATCCTGGTCCGCCGTGTTATCGTTACGCCTCCGGAAATCGCTCCGTCGTGACCTAGAGCCTTCGTCCTCGATCACGGCTTGATTGAAATGATCGCCGCTTTGATTGCTACCCATGCGGTTGTGACTGTATGATCCAACCATCGTCGTTGCAGATCGTTCTCTCAACGAGAGCACCAAATGATGGAGTTTAATCCAACTACGAGAGCTATATCTACGAGAGTAGATGAAAATATGGCAACGTAAGACAGTATTCTATTATCCGAGGTTTTGATCCCCTCATAGGAAGTTTACAGGAAGTATTTATAGACTTTAGGAACTACTCCCTCCGTCCCTAATAACTTTGCCATGTTTGACCGGCACGGGAAATAATAAAGTAAAAACTGTGTGGTTGAGGTTTGTGCAGAGGAGAGAGAATGAACTGGAACCACAATTTTTTTATTTAAAAGGGAAAGTAGCAAAGTTAATGGGACATCCAAAAAAGGAAAGTTGGCAAAGTTATAAGGGACGGAGGGAGTAGTATTCTAGGAGGAAACTGGTACAATAAATGCTATTAATTACATATTAGTTCGAATATGACTCTTGTAACGTTTTGGCCGTTATGCATTCATCGTTCCTTTAAGTCCATGTTCATGCCGTTTATTACTGCCTGCTGTCAAATAGCTATGCACGAATGATAGCCTGCCACGTAAGCCCTAGGAATGTCCCGACCTCACTAGAATTCCGCCCAGGCTCGAGGTCTGTTGTCCAGTCTGGCCTGGTTGTGGGTTCCTGTCGTGGGTCTGATTCCTAGTTAGGCCCAACGGTTAATCATATTAATCCTGTTTATGGGCTGATCCCGTTGAGGGCTTGATCCCATTGAGGGCTTGATCCCGTTATGGGCTGGATCCCGTTATGGGCTTGATCTATGATTTCGTAATTGGGCCATGGTTAGAATCCATGGTACCATCATTTGTTGATTGGGATTCTTTCTTTTTTTGGATGAAAGGTAATTATATTAAACACCCAAAAAAATAACATCATACAATGTATCAAAGTACTCAGAAAACCACTACCTAAGTTAGGATTAACTAACCTAGATATAAACTTCCCAAACAATCATCAGTGTAAATACCGGGACAGGCCCCTGGATAACAAACTCAAAAATCACTAGTTGGAGGGGAAAATCCCTACAAATCACAGCAGAGTCTCTAAAAACCCTCCTCAACCCATCATTATCCCCACTCACAAACACGCTCAAAGTATAACATCTGAGCTGCTAGGCAGTACCCGCAGCCAGCTAAGCGGGTCCTCTTCCCCTGAAACGGTGGTCATAGCATCCGACGCGGCAGAATGAATAGCAGTTACCGTCTGGGGTTCCTGTACAGGTTCCAGCGGTATCTCCGACACAGGTACCCTGGTCAATGCACCCCTCAGGGCAGATGGTTCCACCGGGGCAACCGGTTCCAGCGCAATAGCAGGTTCTGGGGCAGCAGGCATCGTATCAGGTTTTGTGGCACTGTTTTCCTTCAAAGTATCATGTGCAACAGCTTCTATAATACCAACTTCCTTGTTCTTATCTTTCCCATTTTCTTCCTTTAGCTCCGCCATTTCCCGTTCTTTAGTTGTCAGTTTCTTGCAAATAAATGGCTGGTGCCCATATTCTTTGCAATGGAAACAGTAGTTAGGAAAGGTCTCATAAACCACATACTGATTGACTACTTTACGGGAAGGTAGTCGAATAGGAAATGATAGCATTGGTGGTTTGGAAACGTCAACTTCAATCAACACTCTAGCATAGAAATGATTACTCCTATCCTGGGTTACTTTATCCGTAGATAATGGAACCCCAACCATGGAAGCAACCTCACTCATCGCATCCCCATTCCAAAGTTTCATATGTAAATTTGGAAATTTAACTCAAATCGGAACCTTCAGAAATTCATCATCATCAAACGAAAATCTTCGGAGAGTGCTTTTAGCATAAGTTGAATCCCATAAATGGTATAAGGCCCCCCCTCTTCAACACCTTATCTCTATCTTCTTCGTTACGGAACTTAAAAATTATCCACCCCTTTTGATGGGTTTTGACTATGCACCTAACACCCCATGTGTTTTTAAGGCATACACAGCCTCAAGGCCGGGTGTTTTCCAGTAAAGTGTCCAACAAGGCAAAAAACCCACATCTCAACCATGGAGGGTAAATTCCTATCAACAAAGTCTAATGAATTGCCTTTTGGCGGGATATACCTCAATTTGAGCCCGTTTGAGGGGTCTCCGTTGTCTTTGAAAAGTGTAGACCAAGCTTTAGTAGGCTGCACATAGTTAGTCTGCATATCCCCAATGTTACTGCCAATGTTAGCTTCAACAGTTTTTGTCATTGATTTGTTTGGGTCAGCCTGCCCAGGTTTATCAGTAGGATCCTTCCCAGAGTTAACAATCTCCATTGAGTGAGATACCCCTGCACCTGTAGAACGTGCTGCTTCAGTAGGATCCAACCCAGCTCCAGAAGCAGTCTTCCCAGGCGGATACCCAGAAATTGTGCTTTCTTCTTTTCCTGATTTTTCATCACAGTTGACTGTAGAGGCAAATCTTGAGGATCAAAGATTCAAGGACCTTAACCATTGAAGAGTTGGTAAATATTCTTATGCAACACTAGGCATCGAGCCGGGTTGGTCTGAGTCGGGCCTGATCCCAGTTCTAAATAATTGAAGCTCGATATTGACCCGGTTTGGTTCGGTACTGGTACTGGTCCTGGCCCAAACAATACCGGTTCTGGGTTGGGCCAGCTCTCTCATTTTAAAAAATTAAAAATATATTAGTTGGGTCGGACTCGGGACCGGCCAGTCCGGTCCCTAAAAATCAGCTTCGAGCCCGTCTTGTTTCTATGCCGGTCCGATCCCAAAAAATCATGCTCGAGCCCGTCCCATTTCTACGCTAGTCTAGGTATCGAGCCGGTATTGGTATCCGGAAATCAGTCTCGGGTCTGGTCGCCCAGACCCAGTTCATCCCTGTGCAACACTTTGCAGTCAGTTAATCTTTAGTGCCCAATGTGAGCTATGCCACTCTCTAAGTGAAGTGCCAGGTTTTCAATTCTATTTTAGATTAGAACTTAGTTCACGTTGGGAGTTCCCACTATAGGATTGAGTTGTTTGCAAACAGTAAGGGTCTATTTACTAACAATATTTTTCAGTTTTCTACTTTTGTTTTCCGTTCTTAAATTTTCTGTTTTTATCTTCCAGTTTTTTTATCTCTAATTTTTTATTTTTATTTTTCAGTTTTTCATTGTTAAATCTGAAAACATGTTCATACAATTTTTTCACCTGGTTCTGTGACCGACCAAAAGATCAAAAGTACGATCCCAATCCGGAATCGAACCTAGTACAACCCAAGTAGGGTATTGGTCCCACGTATAGGAAAGTGGGGACCAAAATCGGCCGGTCTCGGTCGCTCTCAATTGTTAGTTTGATGAATTCTTTTCCCATTTTCCTATTGGTTGACAACTCAACGGCTCTTTTAGAACTCTTCACATTAAATAGTGATTTCGAAAAACCGAGACTCAACCATTGAGTCATTGACCGGCCCAAAAAAGGACCATTAGGTCATTTCCAGGACTGGCCCGGGACTGCTCGATTGTCGATTGGACCAAACATAGAGCGTAAAGTCATTTAACATAAAGGATGGGGACCGTCAAGTAGTTGACCAGATAGGATGGGGTCCGCCGAGTCGTTGACCGAACAGGATGGGAATCGTCACATCATTGACCGGATCGGGCGGGGACCGCCAAGTCCTTTTCTAGACCGGATCGGATTGGATCGGGATTGCTCGACCATCGATCGTACCAAACAAGTATCGCCTGGTCGTGGATCGGACCGGATAGGGACCGCCGAGTCATGGACCAAACTGGACAGGGATTGTCGGTTCGTCGGCCGGACTAGACCGGGATTGCTCAACCGTCGACTGGATCGGACATGGATCGCTTGGTGAATGACCGCATCGGATCTTCGGGTCGTTGATCGGACCAGATATGGACCGTCGAGTCATTGACCAAACCAGACTCAAACTGACATCGGAGCGGGACCGGATCCAACACTATGCGTAAGTATGCAAATTCATTGCAGCGGTACTACAACATCCGTGTCTTCCAAATATGGAAAACTAGTAAAAGTCACTTCTCCAATTTTTTAAGGAAAAAAGAGACATATCTCATTTGTTGGTTTTGGAAACGATTTGATAAATGCAATTTTTTTTGTCTCTCCAGTTTCTAGCAATTTTTTTGTAAACATGTTTTCTGTTTTCTGTTTTCCAGTTTTCTGAAAAACTGGTTAATATCTCTGTTTGTAAACAGATCCTAATGTTTTCATATCTCAGATTGATAATAAATATATTTGAGACAAAAAACTAAGATTTTTAAGTTTTAATGTTAAAGAGTATAAGATTTATACGTAGTAGTTTCTTACTACATGTATAAGATTTTAGTTTGTGATCTATTTGCAAAATGGCTTAGACAAATGTGGAACTTTATTAGTGGTTGAGCATCATGTAGTGGAAAATGCATACAATGTTTAATATAGTAATAAATATATTTAAGAGAACTCTTAGTTCCAAAATTGGACTGAACCGGGGCTGCGATCGCCGGTATGGTCCACATTTTCAAAATTGAGATCGGCCCCGCCGGATACCCCTTGCACCGGATCCGGATTACCGGTCTCGAGCCGGGACGGCACAGTACTAGTCCCGCTCTGAGACTGTCGGCGGGTCCATCCCTAAATATAACATTTGTGTTAGAAAACGATTGAGCATGGGCAACCTCCCATTTCTAGTAAACAGAGCATTTAATAGAACGTACGTTACATGATGACACTGAAAATTTTAAATTAAATAATTAAATAATTTTTACTAGTTAGATAAATTATACGAAAGTGACATTTTAATAATTAAGTGAATCAGATAAACTTTTAACATCGGTGACATTTTTAATCAGATGAAAATGTTTCAATAATAAAAGTGATATTTTTATAATAATAATTATGTTGACCAGATAGGACCTTGATTTAAATAACAAAAGTGACATTTTGTCACAAGTGATAAATATCCGTATGGCATAAATAATAAAAGTTACACTTTAACAATTTTAATTCAAAGATATCAGTTGATAATATTTGTACAGAAATAACAAAGTTGACTTTTTTAACCTAAAACAATAATGATATGTTCATTATTATATATACTTGCTCGGTACAAGATAAACCTAGATACTATTTGAAATATACGAAGTATTACTTTATTTCTACCAAAACTAATAGGACCTTTCTATTAAGTGAATGCCATGTGACACACATGACATACCTTGTGCTTATCCATAAACACCACATGCCTTTGTTTGTTTGTTATCATACACGTGAATAATACGAAATAATACACATACATGCAGTACACATATACTGTGAATTATGTGAGCTACACACACCTCATGTTTCACGTTAAGCAAACCTCCTATAAGAACAAAAGATACAAGCTGCAACCCATGTGATGTCGTTACATACTTGGATCCTACGAGATGATCAGATAAATCTTCGTATAATAATTATCTACGCTTGAGAACTGATCGGATAATATTTCACCAGCCTAGTATCTGCTCTTCATTAGTATAAATAGCAGACTCACCTGCTATGCCTTTCATCCCAAAAGGTTTGATCGGTATAAACGTATACAGAGTACATAATAAAAGTTAAGATAATATATATATATATATATATATATATATATATATATATATATATATATATATATATATTTATTACCTCGGAAGGCAAACCACCAAAATCAGTGAGGTAAATGCCGGGGGACATTTACCAGATTTTATTAATGAAAGGATCAAAAAATACACGAGGGGGGACTAGGCAAAAAACCCTCCGGAAATGCAAAAACCGATATAAGAAATGCGATAATATATATATATGTGTGTGTGTGTGTGTGTGTTCGTATGTATGTATGTATATGTATATATAGAGGGGTATTCTCATGCGGACGGCCGCACAAGATCCGTCGTTCGTCCGACGGCGTTTGGCCGCCTTCCCGGTGTTATTTTTTTATGAAACTTTTATGGAATGTTATTCATGAAGTCTAGTTTATCCATAAAACAAATCAGCTAAAAACTCAATCCGGAAGGTCGTCAAATGATTTTTTGAAGTTCACTGCGTATTTTTTAGCGCAGTGAACTTCAAAAAATCATTTGACGACCTTCCGGATTGAGTTTTTAGCTGATTTGTTTTATGGATAAACTAGACTTCATGAATAACATTCCATAAAAATTTCATCAAAAATTCCACCGGGAAGGTTGTGACACCCTAAAAATTTAAATGCAAAAAAAAATGAAATAAGATGTGAATCTATTATTTAAACATACGGGTCGAAGTACATTAACGCACACTTCTATTGCATAATGTGTAACCTTCTTTGAATAAGTTTAGTGCTTGGAAGACGAAACATCTTTTAAGGGGATAGAATGTGATACTCCAAAAAAAAAATTAAACAAAATAAAATATATAATTTCATTGATCACATAAAATTTTAAATTTGAATGACAAAAGTGACATGTTAATAAAGTTATGTGCACGTAATATACACACCATACAGGAATATAATTTTGAACAAAGTTATAGAATGATACACATACACAATAATTAGAATACAGCAATTTTATTATACCCAAGGCCAACTTCAATTCACCAAACTCAGGTTCATCTCTTAACCGGTCATCATAATACGTAATAATATTTCTTTTTCTTTAACATGGGAAGTATTGTTACACACGCATACCCATACTATACATGTATAATCGCACATGCGTATAAGCAAAACAAGGAAATTTGATAAATGGACTTAAATGCCTGAGATTCATAACCCTTATAACGTAATGCTAGAACCTTCAGTGTGTCCATATATATGTACTTGGTACGACCATGCATACAACGAAGCTACGAGAGAAAGACGCGAAAAGAAAAAAGAGGGAAGGTCTGCGATGGAAAAAGGGAGAAGTGGAGGGGCGAACGTCGCCAATAAGTACGCCGGGACGCCGTAGCAAGACTCGCCGGACTGATTTTACACCGGAGCAAAACACCGCCGTCGCTCGCTTAAAACGCCGGAGGAGCAGACCTCTGCGACTACATAAGAACCTCCGGACTCCGAAGTACCGATTCATATTCGCTGGAGGAGAAAAGAATGTTATATTTTAAACTTGTTTTATGGTTTAGTTCTATTATTTATGCTGTCCAGAAAATAAAATAAACATGCACGTATGTGTGCTATGTTTTAGACTGAGTAAATGTTTTAATTAAACTACACAAATGTAGGAGTTAGTTTAGTTTTTGAATGAGTCAAATAAAAGTGCAGAGTGTGCACTACGTTAGTGGAGTTAGTTGCCAGATTGTGGCCTCAACTCCTAGTTTGTAGCTTCAGTTATTCTTCAAGTGTTTATATAAATCAATAAAAGGTGATGGTAGCCATAAGAGCTCCACGCCATTTAAAAAAACATACTATCCAGTACTGTCCTAGTCTTTGATATTGATTCATCAAATTCCTTTGTTGTTTTCCTTTGCTGCATTTTCATAAGGCAGAGTACTGACATTTGGTATCAGAGCTACGATTAAGAATGGCTCGGAATTCAACTAGAGATAGTTCTACTGGCAACTCCACATCAACCAACACAGACAACACCATTGCAGACAGAGAAGGAGGATCTGTGACACTCAAATATCCTCTGTTAACGAGGAGTAATTACGCAGCTTGGCCCATCAAAATGGAAGTATTTATGATGGCACAAGGCGTGTGGGAAGCTGTTGAGACCAACGGGCCAGTAGACAATAGGAGAGATAAGATGGCTTTAGCAGCCATCTATCAAGGTATAAGTGAAGATACTTTGCTCCAGTTGGGTGCCAAGAAAACAACGAAGGAAGCGTGGAATATGCTCAAAATGATGAACCAAGGAGTTGACAAAGTGAAGGAGGTCAGATCCCAAAACCTTATGGCGTGAGTTTGAGGCAATGAAAATGAGTGATACAGAAACTATTGATGAATTCTCCGGAAAACTCATGATCATTGTCAGCAAACTCAGAAATCTAGGGAACACAGTGGAGGAGGAGAAAGATGTGAAGAAACTACTGAGATCCACATCATCAAAATTTATTCAGATTGTCTCAACCATTGAAGAGTTTTGTGATTTAAAAACCAAAACTTCTGAAGAAGTAGTTGGATCACTCAAAGCATACGAAGAAAGGACTATTGGATGTGGGAGTAGGTCTGATGAGACTATCTTGCTCACTAGGGCAAAATGGAAGGCTAGAGAGGATGGAAAGGCCTCAAAGAAACAACCAAGGGACCAAGCCAGTTCAAGAGGAGGAAGAGGACGTGGCTGTGGGCGTGGTAGAGGCAGAGGTGGTGACTCCAGTAGATGAAATGAAAGGGAAACTCAGCCACAAAAGAAGAAATTTGACAAAAGTAAAATCAAATGTTATGGTTGTGGTCAAATGGGGCATTTCGCATCTGAGTGTAACTCAAAAGAGAAGGAGGAAAATGTCCATTTGACACAGAACAATACAGATGATGATCCTGCTCTACTGATGTTGAAAACATGTGAATTGGTAACCTCACATGTGATTAAAACAGATGTGGCTATGTTTCATGAAGAGAAGTCTCGATCACAGACTTTGCAAAGAGATGAAAGTCAGTGGTACCTTGACACAGGAGCAAGCAATCATATGTCTGGTGAAAAGTCATACTTCACAGAAATTGATCACACCATCACTGGAAAAGTTAGGTTTGGTGATGGGTCAGTGATTGAGATATGTGGGCAAGGATCAATTGTATTCAAATGCAAGAATGATGAGCATTTGACTTTAACAGGAGTATACTATATTCCAAAGCTGAAAAGCAACATCTTAAGTCTTGGTCACTTGGATGAAGGTGGGGCCAAAACAGTCATAGAGGAAGGCCATTTGAAGCTCTATGACAACAGACAAAGGCTGGTTGTGAAAGTAAGCAGACAATCAAACAGGTTGTATGTGGCTCATTTTAAACTTGCAGACCAGGTATGTCTTCTGGCAAACCTGAAGAATGAGGGATGGTTATGGCATGCACGCTATGGGCACCTAAACTTGAATTCCATGAAGAAGTTGTCTACTCAGGAAATGGTGGAAGGAATGCCAAGAATCAACCAAGTGGATCAGGTTTGTGATGGTTGTGTAGTTGGCAAGCAACACAGACTGTCATTTCCCCAGAAGGCAAGCTACAGAGCAAGAAAGCAACTTGAACTCATACACGGAGACCTATGTGGACCAATCACGCCAGCAACACATGGAGGTAATAAGTATTTTATGCTTCTGGTAGATGATTTTTCAAGATACATGTGGATTTTCATGTTGAAAAGTAAAGATGAGGCCCTGAATGTTTTTAAGAAATTCAAAGTTAGTATGGAAGTGGAAACTGAGAAGAAAATAAAAGCATTCAGGACTGACAGAGGAGGGGAATTCACATCAGTTGCATTTAAGGACTTCTGTGAGACAGAAGGGATAAAAAGGTTCCTAACAGCTCCATATACACCACAACAAAATGGTGTTGTGGAGAGAAGGAATCAAACCATAATTGAAATGACTAGAAGCATGATGAAGAGTAAGGGCCTACCTGCTAAATATTGGGGAGAAGCAGCCAAGACAGCATTCTATATTCTAAATAGAGCACCTACAAAGAATGTTGAAGGTATGACCCCTTACCAAGCCTGGTATGGGAGAGTCCCTAATGTACATCACTTTCGTGTGTTTGGTTGTCTAGCACATTCTAAGAATGTGTCTCCAAATCTTCCAAAGCTAGCAGACAGAAGTATACAAACAATTTTGCTAGGCTATGAAGAAGGGTCCAAAGCATACAGGCTCTTTGATCCCAAGAAGAGTAAAGTGATCATAAGTAGGGATGTGATTTTTGAAGAAGAGAAAGATTGGTGTTGGGCCAAGTCTGGAGAAGAAGTATCTACTGATGGAAGTTTCACAGTACAAAGTAATACAAGCCCAGGAACTGAGCCAAATGATCACTTCAATTCTCCAACGTCTTCAGCACCAGACTCTCCAACAACCCCTCAAAGCATCAATACAAACTCAAGCTCAGAGGGCCTCCACAAATATAGATCTCTGCAGGAGATATATGATGCTACACGTGAGGTTGATGAAGAAGCAGGCTTATGTTTTCTTTCTATTGAGGAACCAACCTCTTATGAAGAGGCCTCTAAAAATGAAAACTGGAAACAAGCCATGGAATAGGAGATAGCTTCCATTAGAAAGAATGGAACCTGGGAGTTAGTAAAGCTGCCAAAAGATCAAAAGGCAATTGGTCTTAAGTGGGTGTTCAAACTGAAGAAAACCCCAGAAGGTGAAGTAGTCAAACACAAAGCAAGACTCGTGGCAAAGGGGTATGTGCAAAGATATGGTGTGGACTACAGTGAGGTTTTTGCACCAGTGGTTAGGCTTGAAACAATCAGGTTACTGTTAGCCTATGCAGCACACAAGAGCTGGGATGTTCATCACATGGATGTGAAGACGGCTTTCCTGAATGGAGAGCTTGAGGAGGAGGAGTATGTTACACAACCTGATGGTTTCATTGATAATAAGAACCCACAGATGGTTTTAAGACTGCACAAGGCCCTATATGGGTTGAAGCAAGCTCCTAGAGCTTGGAACTCCAAGCTAGACAAGTGTTTGAAGTCACTGGGTTTCTCAAAATGCCCAGAGGAGCATGCTTTGTACAAAAGAAAAAAAAGGAGATGAAGCAATGTTAGTAGGGGTTTATGTGGATGATCTGATCTTGACAGGATCAAGTGATTCCATCATAAATTCATTCAAAACAGAGATGCAACAAAGGTTTGAAATGAGTGATCTTGTTTTGCTTAGTTATTACCTAGGAATTGAGGTAAAACAAGATGCAAACTCAATCACTCTAAGTCAGTCATGTTATGCAAAGAAGGTCTTGGAGAAACTAGGAATGGGGGAGTGCAATCCATGCCAACTTCCAATGGAGCCTAGAACTAAGATGAGCAAACTGGGAAATGGAGAGCCTCCAGTTGATGAAACTCTTTATAGGAGTGTGATTGGGAGTTTGAGGTATTTGGTGCACACAAGGCCTGACTTAAGTTATTCTGTTGGAGTAATGAGTAGGTACATGGAAGCTCCTACAACTGCACACATGACATGAGTAAAACAGATTCTGAGATATGTGAGAGGAACTTTGAATCTGGGGTGTGTTTATAAAAAAGAGCAGCTGGATGATGACTTGGTGGGCTACTGTGATAGTGACTTAGCTGGTGACATAGATGATAGGAAAAGTACAACTGGTGTGGTGCATTTTCTGGGAGAAAAACCCATTACTTGGGTCTCTCAAAAGCAAAGAGTAGTTGCTTTGTCATCATGTGAGGCAGAATATATAAGTGCAACAGCTGGAGCATGTCATGGTGTGTGGCTTAGTAGAGTGTTGAACAACATGAGAGGAGATGATCAAATAAGAGCCACTCTGAAGGTTGATAACATATCAACTATTGCTTTAGCAAAAAATCCAGTCTATCATGACAGAAGTAAACACATAGATACAAGGTATCACTTCATCCGTGAATGTGTACAGAATGGAGAAATTAAGGTGGAATATGTGAAGACTGATTTTCAGTTAGCAGATATGCTAACTAAGCCACTTGGTCGTCAAAGGTTCATGGAACTCAGAGAGAAACTTAGCTTGAAGACTGTCAAGTAATTAAGGTAACAAGTTTAGGGGAGTGAACGTTATATTTTAAACTTGTTTTATGGTTTAGTTCTATTATTTATGCTGTCCAGAAAATAAAATAAACATGCACGTATGTGTGCTATGTTTTAGACTGAGTAAATGTTTTAATTAAACTACACAAATGTAGGAGTTAGTTTAGTTTTTGAATGAGTCAAATAAAAGTGCAGAGTGTGCACTACGTTAGTGGAGTTAGTTGCCAGATTGTGGCCTCAACTCCTAGTCTTTGATATTGATTCATCAAATTCCTTTGTTGTTTTCCTTTACTGCATTTTCATAAGGCAGAGTACTGACAAAGAAGTCATCAAACTGCATTGAAAGGGACGTCGCCAGACCACCAGTGTACCGACGGGGAACTCCAGGGCGAAGCATATCGGAGGAGAAACCCAACTGCCCGGACTGCCGGACTGTCTTCACGCAGGAAGAGGAGAAGCCGGAGTTGCCAGTGGACCGGACTGCCGCCGGTGGTTGATCCGCTAGGGAGGGACTTGCTTCGCCGGTGCTGAAAGACAAACCCGACGAAGGAGACAATAAGTACGTCGTACATCCTTTCTTTACTTTCTGAAGAAGAAGTGAAGCTACGTACCATTTACTTTTATTTTGTGTTGGACTGTTCATTTTACTACTGGCCCGAACAATAATTCTATGGTACCTCTTCAAATTTGGAGTGTACCGTACATTTGCCTTTCTCACCCAATAACATTCCAAGTCAATTCATTAATGGCACTATTTCATGTGCCACTATTTGCATGTGTCAATATTTCATTTGCCCACACAATGAGATGCACCATACCTTCCAAATTTTCAAAGGCACCATAGCATGACCCTAAACTGTTTAGTACAGAGGATAAAATAGAGCTGGACTAATTGCTTATTTGCGGGCTGGAATAATAATAATAATAATAATAATGATAATGATAATGATAATGATAATGATAATGATAATGATAATGATAATGATAATGATAATGATAATGATAATGATAATGATAATGATAATGATAATGATAATAATAATAATAATAATAATAATAATAATAATAAATAATAATAATAATAATAAAATAATAATAATAATAATAATAATAATAATAAAATAATAATAATAATAAAAAGATTCTTGGCTTGTTCAGATTAATTGAAAACATGGACTTAATCACTATGTTGACTTGGTAGAAGCTTTGGTTAAATTATCACTATTCGAGGTAAGTTTCATGTCAACCAAAATTATACATTTTTGCCTCGTACTTTTATTAAAGGTTTTTATGTGCATATTTGCGAATTGAATTTATGTGTGCTGAATTTTAGTAAATATTATTTCGATACTAGTTTGCTATGATTGGTTGTACTTGATATATTGGTTTTTTTTTCTATTATGTGATTTTGATATTAGTTATTCTATATGATTTTGGGAGATTTTTTACTAGCGAACATTTTGATGTCATTTTGATTAATTTGGTGTTTGAAGAATTTTTTTATATCGTATTCTTGAAACATTTAACTTTTGATTGAATTTTGATGAAACAAAGAAAAATTAATATTTTCATAAGGGGTGAGCACCCGGGAGAAATCCGTGTTGTCGGTTTTCCACATCCGGATGAATGTGGAGGGTGGTTATGGCTACTACTACTCAATTTGGTTTGATTGGTTTGGCTTGAGTTGATTTTTGATTAATGGAGGGTCGGTAACCACTCCGACATTTGGACATTAGATTCCACTTTGGTGGTAGTAGTAGTTCCTGATCACTCGAGATTAAATACTTTTGGTGGGGTAGTTGGTAGAAAACATCCCGGCTACCCGGGGCGACTTACTAACCCGGAGGGCTTGGAATCCCTTTAGGGGGGTGCACACTTAAGGTAGTTGTTCCGATTCCGACTTTTGTGGTTGATGGAGACCGAAATTTCCGGGGTAAGTTCGTAAACAACGGCTTACTGGGCTCGGTAACCCCGAGTACCGCCCATCTTAAAAAGAACTAGGAGCATTAGTCAAAACTATTTTTGGAAGAAAATGTTGAATTTTATTACTCATGCTTTATATTATATTTTCGGCTTACGTTCGACTTGAGGTGAATATTATTTGATTGGATTTGTGGTGGAATTGAATTATTGAATTGATTGGAATTGTTGGATTATTGGATTGGATTATATTTGGATTGAATTTGAGTTGGATTGAGTTATTAAATTATTTGTGGGTTTTTAGGGTATAAATACTTTTGGATTTGATTTGGTTTGATTATGTTGAATATCGTTTATAATTATTTATATGTATTTTGAGATGAATATTTGATGTTTGATTTATGGTTTGGAATAATTGTGATCATATTTGGTGGTTTATGTATATTGATATTTTGGAATTATTATGATTTTGAAATATGTACTTATATTTGAAATATTGATATTTTGCATATTATTTGTGTTATAAGAATATTTTATAAATGTTGTTTTACTTATGAGTTATAAAGTATTTTGAAATTATATTTTTACGAAATGTTTTACAAATATAAATATTATATATATATATATATATATATATATATATATATATATATATATATATATATATTCGAGGTTAGGTGGAACTTACTTAGCATTGTTGTTAATGTTTGTTTCTTTTATATTTTTTCTTTCTGTACTTGATTTTGTACAGGTGTTGAGTTGATCCGGTTGAAGTTGATTTCAAGAGAGCTTCCGCTAGAACATCAAATTAGTAAATAATTGTAATTACATTTTCAGCATCTTAAATTAGTGAACATTTATTTTAGAAGTTTAATTTATTTTGAGTTTAAATTGTTTTAGCATGTGCACTCGGTTAGGTTAGAACCGAGTGTGGCGGTAACACCCTATTTCCCTTTTGATTTTTCCGCTTCACAATTCTGATGTTTTCAAATAAAGTTAATAAATAATGTTTTATTTGAATGTACTTTTGGGTGGGAAATTTGGGGGTGTTACAAAGGCGGCCAAACGCCGTCGGTCGGACGGCGGCGGGTCTGGTGTAGCCGTCCGCACATGAAAACTCCTCGATGATCCCTTTTAAGAAGCAGAGTTGTAGTAGTAGTCCATAATCATTCAGAGATATCTTATTCAGGGGTAGTTGGTAGACTGAGTCCTGACTACTCGGGACGACTTACTACTCGGAGAGCTTGGAATCCCTTTTAGGGGTGTGCACACTTGAGGTAATCGTTTCGTTTCCACAAGAGCGTTGTGGTACCGGCATTGATCGGGGTGGCCGTCCATAACCACGGTCCACCGGGCTCCGCCGAAAGGTTGAATACCGCCCTTCTAAATTACTACGAAGTTGGTGAAAAAGAGACTTTTGAGAAATTCAAAGAGAAGAGTTACTTTGATATTTTCGAAGAAAAGTTGAGGATTTTAGTGAAGAAGTGATTTTGAGGTAAATCAAGGAAGAAAAGAATAGCGGTGGCGTGAGTTCTTTTTATATAGTAATGATGGAGTATATGGCCTAGGAACCCTCGGCCCACATACTTCCACTACTACAATGAGGCCCAACAGGCCCAAGTGGAGCAAACACGGCAAACTGGACTCCGAACAACTCATACTACAACAGGGTACGTACGTCCACCTGATCTAGGAACATCACTGGGGACGTACGTCCGTCAGCACATGAAGGCCCCTTGGGGACGTACGTCCGTCAACACATGACTGCCTTTCGGGGATGTACGACCTCTAAACACTACTAGAGAAGGAACATATAACGTCGGTTATTTTATGCTTTTAACGTCGGTTCTGGAACCGACGTGTAAGTAAGAGACGTTGTATGTTAGAACCTATAACGTCGGTTATAAAACCGACGTTAAATAAATTTTTTTAATTATGAAATATAATTTACCACGTCGGTTACGCTAAAAAACCGACGTCTGAAGTATTTCTTAGAAATTAAATAAATAGCTTGTTATGTCGGTTTCGTATAATAACCGACGTCTAATGAATTTCTAAAAAACTAAATAAATACCTTTTAACGTCGGTTTCGTATAATAACCGACGTCTAATGAATTTCTAAAAAACTAAATAAATACCTTGTAACGTCGGTTTCGTAGAATAACCGACGTCGTTTTTCTTTTTTAAAAGTGTATAAAAATTCTTTAACGTCGATCTTTTTTAATAACTGACGTAATTTGATTCTTTGTTATTCGCTAGGACCACATTTAACGTCGGTTTTTTGAAAAAACCGTCGTGAATGTTTTTTTAACATCCTAGAGAGAAGAAAACGTATTGTTCCGAGAATCTGCTATTATATGCTAATATCATGGTGCAGCAGTTTTCAAGCTTCCACAACATTGAAACCATCACATGTACTGAAAATGTATTATATAAAATATCACAAAAATGACAACCAAGTCATACAATCTAGTCTCAAATATTACATACGGTTCAAACACCAACATACATTTGGAACTACGTTCAAAGACCAATATAAGTTCTGAAATAAACTGCAGTCAGTACTCATAAGCTACATGACACCATTATATAATAAGTTATGAATTGAATTAAAGTTCAATGCCACAACTCATAAGCTTCATTTGCACACCGCTTTACACCACATCGCTCTTACAAAATCCAAATCACCTTGTGTGTATTTTTTATCACGATCGAACATCTACAAAATATAATTAAAATGGGGCGTTAATTAGAAATATTAGTTATTTGAAGATACATATTACTGAAAAATTACCTTGCTCATCGAGACTTTTTTTGTCTTGGAAGAGATAATGTCATACATGAACCTCATCACATAATAACCGCACTCGACATTTCTCACTTGCTTTGGGCACTATATTAGAATCAGATAAACATAAAGTACATAACTAAAAAATAACTAAGGTATTTAAATATAAAAAAGCTTACCGGACAAATAACCCATTTTGTTGTGCTGTAACGATTTGCAGAAGTTCTACCTTTTAGCGCAGCTTGTTTGAATGACCTATATATAGATTTATACCGGAGAAGACTATAAGACGCATAAGGTATCATGTACGACAAAATAAAATCAGATAAACGTACAATCAACACTAAAAACCTAAGCATATCTCAATCAACATAAATAAAGGTAAATAATAAAATAGGAAAACTAATTAAACCAAATAACGTACACTTCTATTATTTGCTTGATGTCCTGAGACGGTTGACTATCAATTGAGTCAAACCAAAATGCCTCGTACGAGCTTGGACAAATAACACATAACGTCCAATGGCAACTGTATAAATTAAAATAAATGTTTGCCATATGTATATTAATAGCAATTTTACTTATTCATAAAAATGAACTATAAAGCTATCATAAGTGTATTTTGTATGTCTACAAAAAAGGACATACCTCTCATAATATAGGGCAAGATAATACTTTTTTGTTCCTCTCAAAAAAGTGCTAGAAAGGTAAGCAATCTTGTCATTGTCATCTGTCTTTTGTTGTACCATATTTGGACACAAGAGACCAATCATTTTATTTGCTTTCAAGTCAAGCTGCTGATACAGACATCTATTATATGAAAAAGAGCTTTTATTAACACACTAAAGAGACCACATTCTAAGCTCACCTCAAATCTATCAAATAAAAAACACAGACTTTGAGGTTCGTATAGACAATTTCCTATTCTCTTCTCCCTGTGCGCCACTTCAAACTTAGCAATTACAAAAGTAATAATATTACAAACATTGCAATAAGTAAATTAAATCCCAATGGCATACTTCGCACAATATTCAACAATAAACACCAACACACAAAATCAGCAATATATAACCTAAACAAC